TTTTTTTTTTTTTTTTTTTTTTTTTTTTTTTTTTTTTTTTTTTTTTTTTTTTTACCTTTCCTCGAATCGTGTGTCATCCTTGCGTCAGGGTCATGCTAATCATCTCTGTGTCATTCCCATTGCAACGGATGTCCCGAAGGACCCTGTTTTTTTTGTTTGACCTTTTCTCGATTTGTGTTTGTCATCCTTGCGCAGGGGTCATGCTGATCTAGAGGGGCCTTTAGGGCTTGATGCGTAGGGGCCGTTAGGGCTTGATGTACAGGGCACTTTAGGGGTTCATGTACCGTCTTTTCCTCCCTCCACCTCTTCTCCTCCATCTCTGCTCGCCTTCATCGTCCTCCAGGTCCTACTATAACCCCCCATCTCCTCTCCATATCCCCTCCGCTGGAAAACGTTGGAAATACCGATCGTTTTTTTTGTTGTTTTTTTTCGTTGTTTCCTGTTCCTGGACTCGGTGCTCGCCATATCCCAGTCTCCCCGCCATATCCCCACCTTCATCTCTCCTCCATGCCTCCACCTTCGTCCTCCACCTGTCCATCTTTCCTCCATCTCTCATCCATTTGTCCTCCATATACCCTCCACCACCTCTCCTCCATGCCTCCATGTTTGTCCACCTGTCCATCTTCCCTTCATCTGTCCTCCATATACCCTCCACCTTCACCTCTCCTCCATGCCTCCACCTTTGTCCTCCACCTGTCCATCTTTCCTCCATCTTTCCTCCATTTCTCCTCCATCTCTCCTCCACTCTCCACCTTCATTTCTCCTCCATGCCTCCACCTTCATCTCTCCTCCATGCCTCCACCAGGTGCACCATCATCTCTCCTCCATACCTCCACCTTTCTCCTCCATGTCCATCTCTCCTCCATCTCTCCTCCATCTCTCCTCCACCTCCGTATCTCACCCTCTCTCCTCCATCTCTCGTCCATATACCCATCTCCCTCTCATATCCCCTCCACCTTCATTTCTCCTCCATTCACCACCTTTMTCTTCCATCTCTCCATCTCTCCTCCATATCTCCTGCATCTGCCGTACATCTCTCCTCCACTTGATTTCAAGGCAGACAACATACCCCCTTTTGTCTTTTTTTCTTCGTTTCTGTTATATTATTAATTATTTTTATAATCGTCCACTTGATTTGAAGGCAGACTTCCTAAGACAGCGACTGCTGCCAATTGTTTTTTTTTTTTTAATAGTTCGTCCTGTTTGGGCAGCCGTGTTGAAAGGGGGCGGTTGTCGTGGAGGAGTCTACGCCGGGAGGGGGGAGGACACAGAGTCTGGTGTGGGTGAATTGGGGATGTAATGGGGACTACAGCTGATTTGGTGGTCCTGCCCATTTTTGATGTGTGCAGGTCGCAATGACGAGCAGCAAGTTCACCGCCGACATGATCAAGGAGAGATCTGGTCAAGGAGCATCAAGTTCAGACCCCCCTACAAAAAAAAAAAGGACGCCCCGCACGGCTCCACACGGTGTGGTACACGTAGTGCACGTCCCCGCACATTTCTGCACCCCCACGCCCACCTCCCGCTCGGATCTCCGCACGGATTTTGGTCTGTGCAGGTGTGGAATGTGCGGAGATCGAGCACCTCCAGGCTCCCGCATGCCGTACTCCGCACCGCACCGCACGAATGCGCGGCTCGTGCGGTTGCAAGTCTGATATAGAGCTATGCCATCGAAGCTCGTCATTGACGTGTTGGTGTTCTTCTTCTTCATACTGGGAGCTGTGCTCCCCTGCCGAGCGGACACTTCCTCTTCTACAGTGGGCAAAGTGAGTGCTGCAGATTGGCGTTGGGTTCAGGAGGGGGTGTGGCGCTTGGTGGGCTTGTTATAGGTTGGGCGCCTAGCTGCGCGCCATAGCTAGAGCTTGACATGGAGGGAGGAAGGAAGAAAGGAAGAAGGTCTCCCATACTTGATAATGAAACTCTGTTTGTGTAATTGGTTCGTGGATGCGGGTACCGTGGCTGGGATACTGGGAGTTTCATGCTGCTAATTGAGTTGGGGAGAGAGACAGTATATTAATAAGAATTAAGCAAATTCAATTCTGATTTGGTTTTTGCGCAAGTGTGTCATTGATCCATGGATTCGTTCTGCAACTCGCATCAATCTGCGGACGTCGACCGACGGGCGTAGGTAGCTCAGTCGGTACACCCATGAACTGTGTCGACATACAGACCCATGTTCAAATCCAGATGCAACCAAATGACCAGAATCATCTTCTGAATTACCTGCGGACGGTCAGTTCAATCAACTTCAATGATGATATCTCATGCCTGTTGCTCTTTAAGGGGTGGGGGTGGGGGGGTGGGGGAGGAATCCAAGGATGTCTGCCCTCTTAGTGCCAACATACAAAGCTTCAGAGATAGCTGCAATTAACAGCGATCCAAGGAAGCCTGAGCTTGATGCTGACATGCTACACTTCCAGAGATAGCTGCAATTCACATTAGGCAAGCATATCACATCCATCCAAAGGATCTGAAGCGTGCGAGCGAGAGCAGAGCATAGCGGAGGAGGAAAAAGAACGAGGCGACAATTTTGTCTCACTCACCCCCATCCAGCCAAGAGAATTGAGGCCAGCCCTTCAGTCACTTCCGGGACAACGCTCTGTAATTCCCTCCAGCATTTTTTTTTTTAAATAACAAAACTCCATTCCAATTTCCAACCAAGCCGATATAAACCAAACACACAAAAAAAAAAAGATCAAAGTTCGTCACAACAAATAAACAAAAAGTTTAAAATAGCAATTGCCGGAAGAAGGCGGCTGGCATGGAAAAGTGAAAGAGAAAACAGTCCATAGACTCCAGAGTCCATACACAACAACCAGCAAGAGTCCCTGAAAAGCGGACGGAGCAGATGCTGAACTTTCTGAGGTAACGATTCGATTGCAACTTGCACGATGATGTCTTCTTCTTCTCCTTCTTCTTCTTCTTCTTCAGTGGGTGCTGCTACTTTCTCTTCCTCTCTTCTTCTTCTTCTTCTTCTTCTTCTTCTTCTTCTTCTTCTTCTTCAGCAGGTGCTGCTACTTTCTCTTCCTGCTTCTTCTTCTTTCTTCTTCTTCTTCTTCTTCTTCTTCTTCTTCTTCTCCTCCTCCTCCTCCTTCTTCTTCTTTTTACTTGCAAGATAATGTTCACTTCTGCCAGTTGGAAATTGGAATCAACAGAAGGAACGAACTAAGAACTAAGAAGATATAAGAGGATCGGCCAAACCGTTGTTTCCCTTGAAACTGAAGTCGAGCAAACAATGGCCATCTCGGGTCTGCAAAAACTGTCAAAAAGCCGACCCTCAAGTAATTGCCAAAAAAATAATGTAAAAGACGAAGTGCTCAAATCTACCCAATAAAATACTGCAAATCAGCAGAAAAAGGATGAGTGCTGTGCCGAAAAATCTATCCACGAAATGGATTCGAATTTCAATCCCAAAAGCTTTGGTACTTGGGTATCAAGTAGTATCAACTAGTATCAAGTGATGTATTTCCTGATGCGTCGTCATGGACTTCACATTTGCTGCCAAAAGCTCTGGTATCGCATCATCACGGAATCAATACACGGGCCCAAAAGATCTGGTACCACATCATTACTCCGTATACGGAGCCAAATGCTCTGGTACTCAATCCCAAAAGCTTTGGTACTTTGGCATCAGAAGCAAGAGGAAGAGGAGGAGGGATAGGAGCAGCAGCAGCAGCACAAACAGAAGAAGACGAAGAAGAATAACCCTCTCTCTCTCTCTCTCTCTCTCTCTCTCTCTCTCTCTCTCTCTCTCTCTCTCTCTCTCTCTCTCTCTCTCTCTCTC